AGCAGCAGCAGCAGCAAGAGCAGCAGCAGCAGCAGGCGCTGCCGTGGGCCCTGCTGCTGCCCAGCGAAGGCAAGCCATTTGACCCGATAACATATGCGCTGTACTTGCGAGACAAAGACAAGCCAGCAGCAGCAGCAGCAGCAGCAGCAGCAGCAGCAGCAAAGGAGGAGACTTCGGGGGAGGCGAAGTATTCCTTCAGACGCAACTATTTGTGGCAGGTAAAAACAAAAACCCACAGCTTGCTGCAGCTGCAGCTGCTGCAGCAGCAGATGCTGCAGCAGCAGATGTAGCAGGTGCAGCAACAGCAGTAGATGGAGCAGCAATAGCAGCAGAGCAGCAGGAGCAGCAGAAGCACTAGCTGCTAAACCCTAGACCGTCCAGTAGCGAGAGCATTCATTTATATGCTGAAACTAAGTGCTGCTGCTGCTGCTGCTGTTGCTGTTGCTGCTGCTGCTGTTGCTGCTGCTGCTGCAGGCGCCTCTATCTTCGGGTTCGAGCAACGAAAGGACCGTCTTGTTGGTGGTGCCGGCAGCAGCAGCAGCAGATCCTTCAGCAGCAGATGCAGCAGCAGATGAATCGAATGCTTGTTTGCTGCTGCCGCTGCTGGGGCCCCGCCGCGTGCTGCTGAAAGCAGGAGCAGCAAACAAGCAGCCGGGGCTGTTGGTAACTGCAGCAAAAACTGCTGGAGAAGCAAATGCTGCTGAGGCAGATGCTGCAGCAGATGACTTCGGTGAGAAATACACCCTAATATTGCTGCTGTTGCTGCTGCTGCTGCTGCTGTTGCGGCTGCTGTTGCTGCTGCTGCCTCAACAGCAGCAGCAGCAGCTGGGGAGAACCAGCGGGTGTTGCTGTGCCTTAAAGCATTCGCTGCTGCTGCTGCTGCTGCTGCGCTTGCTGCTGCTGCTGCTGCTGCTGCAGAGGGGGGCCTTGCTGGGAGTGGTTTGGGGTTTGAACGGCTGGGCGCTGAGAAAATTGATGAAGAGGGAGACCGCCTCTTTAGTGATGACAATGAAGATGAAGACAAAGCAGCAGCAGCATCTGCTGCTGCTGCTCCTGCTGCTTCTCCTGCTCCTGCTGCTGCTCCTGCTGCTGCGAATGACAGCAGCAGCAGCAGCAGTGGCAGCAGCAGCGGCGGCAGCAGCAGCGAAGACGAAGCCTCTTCAAACTCTTCTTAGCAACACAAATCATAATACTCCCTAATGGGGGGCCCCCCTTCTATTATAGGGGGGCCCCCTGTATGTTACGAGGGCCCCCCTCTTCATAGAGGGCCCCAGGTGGGACCCTTGTCCTTTAGGGGGCCCCCCTTTTCTTATGGGGGCCCCCTTATGGGTTTACGAAGACCCCTTTTTTTATGGGGGCCCCTCGATGGTTTTAGGGGGGCCCCCCTTTTTTATAGGGGCCCCCCTCTTCGTGGGGGGCCCCAGGGGGGCCCCCCTCTTCATAGGGGGCCCCAGGGGGGCCCCCTTTTCTTTAGGGGGGCCCCCTTTTCTTTAGGGGGGCCCCCTTTTCTTTAGGGGCCCTCTGATGGGTTTTGATGGGTTTTGGGGGGCCCCCTTATCTAATGGGGGCCCCTTGATGGGTTCAAGGAGGGCCCCTGTTCTTTAAGGGGCCTCCTGATGGGTTTAGGGGGGCCCCAGGGGGCCCTCTTGATGTGTTTAGGGGGGCCCCTGTTCTTTAGGGGGCCCCTTAAAGAAGGGGGGGCCCCCTTAGCTATAACCGTGGGGGCATCTCCTTTGCCGAATATTAATATTTTAAGTTGATATATTATTTGTAGTTAATATGCTTTTATATATTTATATATATACATATATATAAGATGTACTGTGCATGCATGCATGCACATAAGCATAGACATCTAAATAATATATTTAAAACAAATGTTATAAATATAAATATAACGTGGAGATACACCGTAAATTATTTAACTGGCTAAAAAAGAATAACAAATAAAATAAATAAATAAATAATCAAAGCAAACAAATAAATAATCGAGACAAACAAACAAATATAAAATAATGTATAATACAATAACAAGAATAACACAATAATAATAATAGTAAAGCAAGAAGAGAAAATAAATATAATTATTTACTTTATTATTTATTTTATTATTTATTTTATTTTATTACTTAACTATTTATTTTATCATTCATTTACTTTATTACTTAATTATTTATTTTATCATTCATTTACTTTATTACTTAATTATTTATTTTATTATTTATTTTATTATTTATTTTATTATTTATTTATTTGTTTTACTTCTTTTCTTTTCTTATGCTAATCACACATCGCGGGGATGCCAGCAAACAAAACGCAGCAAATAAATAAATATGAAGACACAAATTAAACAAACTAAATTAAATTAATTAAACTACATAATTAAATAAACTAAATTAAATTAAAAATAAATAAACAAGGATATGCCGCTCAACACCACTCCATCGTATCGTAGGAAACAGCAAAAGAAGTAAAAAGAAAACACTTAAAGCGTAAAATACAAAAAAACTGTTGTTGCTGCTGCTGCTGCAGCAGCAGCAGCAGAGGAAGCAGCAGGAGCAACCGCTCTATTAGATTGTGCACTACTGGCGGGTGGCTGTGGCTGCGGCTGCTGTTGCTGCTGATGCTGCAGTTGCTGCTGCAGTTGTTGCTGCTGCAGTGGTCGCTGCTACAGTTGTTGCTGCTGCAGTTGTTGCTGCCGTTGTCGCTGCTGTTGCTGCTGCTATTTTATTCTTTAGCCTTTGGTTTTCTTCGTACAGCAGCAGCAGCTGCTGTCTATACACCGCCAGTTTCTGCTGCAGCAAATCTGTGCTGCAGAGCGTGGACCCCGCGTAGCTGTCTTGCTGCTGCTGCTGCTGCTGTTGCTGCTGCTGCTGCGGCTGTTGCTGCTGCTGCTGCTCTGAGTTGAAGAGAAATCCCCTACGGAAATGCATGCGTAAAAATCGATTGTCCTGAAGCAGCCGTTGCACTTGCTGCTGCAGTGCTGCAGCAGCAGCAGCTGCTGCTGCACTCTCCCGCTGCTGCAGCTGCTGCTGCAGCTCCAAGCGCGCTATCTTTTCCTTCAATAGTAGCATTTGCTGCTCCTGTTCTTGCTGCTGCTGCTGCTGTTCCTGCTGCTGCTGCTGCTGCTGAGTAGTGAGAGCCGTGTCAATGTCGCTGTGCTGCTCAGCTGCTGTTGCTGTTTCTGCTGCAGCATCTGCTGCTTCCGTTGCTGCAGTTGCCGCTGCCGCTACCGAAATATTGTCGTTCGAGTTCGCTGGAGATACGCACTCTGCTGCTGCTGCTGCTGCTGCAGAAGTAGCAGGAGAGGCAGCAGCAGCAGAACTGGCAGCAACAGGGCCCCAGCCCAGGTGCTTCAAATCTTCCCTCAAGCTCTCCGACAAATGTTCGCGAGGAAGCGGCTGCAGCAGCAGATGCTGCTTCTGTTGCTGTTGCTGCTGCTGCACAGCAGCAGCAGCAACCAAGGCGTCTGTTTCTTCTGGAGACAGAGACGGAAAGGCGAATGCTGGCTGCCCTCTAATTTTATTTTGTTGTTGTTGTTGTTGCTGCTGCTGCTGCTGCAGCTGCTGCAGCTGATGCGCCTTTACTGCTCTCGCAAGTGCTGCGTCTTCTGCTGGAAGCAAATTGAGTTTAAGGCGATGGTGAAAGTGCTGCAGCAGCTGTCTGCCCCCCCACCGAGACCCTCCCTCACACACCGCCATCCTGCTGCTGCTGCTGTTGCTGCAGCTGTTGCGGCTGCTGCTGCTGTAGTGTGTGTTCTTCTTCTGGTGGACTACCCGTTTTGCTGTTTCATTACTGCTGCTGCTGCTGCTGCTGCTGTTTTCAGCAGCTGCCGCAGCAGCAGCAGCAGCAGCCAGCTCCAGCGGCGAGTGGTGTAGTATCGCGCTGCAGCACTTTGAGTCTTTAAAGATTAATGATTAATAAATATTCAATATTTTATAAATGAGTGTTTTAAATGAATTAATTTCATTACAATTATTAATATCTGCTGTATGCTGCCGCAGACAACTGCAGTCGCAGCAGCAGCAGCAGCAGCAACAACGGAGCTGCAGACGGGGGCCCCCTGAGTTTTCGTTGTTTGTTTGTCGAGATGAATAGCCCGCAGCGCTATTTTATTTTTATTTTTAAAAGTATTTTATTTATATTTTAAAGCCCCCACAGTCTCTACACGAAGGGGAGACTCCAGCAATAACAACCGCAACAGCAGCAGCAGCAGCAGCAGCAACTGCAGCAGCAGCAGCAGCAGCCGCAGCAGCAGCAGCAGCTCCACGACCTCCACAGAGGCATCTTCTCCTTCGTCATTTTTCTCTTTGGCTTTTTCTTCGCTTCATCTCTCAGGAGGAGATGGAGAGAAGACGCAGCAGCTGAGGGCTGCTGAAGTTCCAGCAACTGCAGCAGCAGCAGCAGCAGCAGCAGCAGCTGGAGCAGCAGCTGCACCTTTAACTGCAGCACCATCAGCGGGAGTAGCATATCATTCACACACGCCGCAGAAGCAGCACCAACAGCAGCACGAACAGCAGCATCAACGGCAGCACCAACAGCAGCACCAACAGCAGCAGCAACAGCAGCAGCAACAGCATCAGCAGATATTAGCGATTCTCTGGGGGCCCCAATATGAGTCGATTTTAGACAAGGGTGTGCACAGGCTAGTGGCTTCCAGCGGCTCCCATCGACGTTCACAATGAGCTGAGGCAGCCGCAGCAGCAGCAGCAGTAAGAGCAGCAGCAGCAGCAGCAGCAGCAGCGAAAGGAGCACCCGAAGGTGCACGGGTATACAATGGATGGCTCGGCTTTTATAAAACTGATAGGGCAGCTCAGCCCTGTAGCAGCAACAGCGGCTGCTGCAGCAGCAGCTGCTGCTGCAGCAGCAGCAGCACCACCACCCATAGCACCGCCGTCACCACTACTAGCAGCACCAGCAGCAACAGCAGCAGCACGAGTACTAGCAGCAGCACGAGCAGTAGCAGCAGCAGCAGCATCACCAGCGCTAGCAGCACCACTAGCAGCAGCACCACTAGCAGCAGCACCACTAGCAGCAGCACCATTAGCAGCAGCAGCACCAGCGCTAGCAGCACCACTTCCAGCAGCACCAATAGCAGCAGCAGCACCCGCACCAGCACCAGCACCCGCAGCAGCAGCGGCACCAACAGCCGCACGACCACCACCAGCCCCAGCAGCAACAGTAGCAGCAACAGCAGCACCAAGAGCAGCAGCAGCACCCGCACCAGCACCAGCAGCAACAGTAGCAGCACCAGGCGCAGCAGCAGCAGCAACAGTAGCAACAGCAGCACCAAGAGCAGCAGCAGCAGCAGCTCCAGCTCCACCTTCAGCTGCAGCACCAACACCATCAGCAGCAACACGACCATCAGCAGCAGCCGCATTACCACCATCACCACCATCACCATCGCCAGCATCAGCAGCAGCAGCATCAACAGCAGCAGCAGCAGCAGCAGCAGCAGCAGCAGGGGCTGAGTTTGAAGTGGAGGCTATAGTGCGAGTGCGGGAGACAGCTGCTGGGTTTCAGGCGTTGGTGAAGTGGAAGGGCTTCGAAGCCAAAGATGCAACTTGGGAGCGGGTTGACTCTCTTCAGAATCCTATCCTTAGGTATATAATAATACTATTTATTTATTTATTTATTTATTTATTTGTTTATTTATTTATTTAATTATTTATTTATTTATTTAATTGTTTATTGTTTTATTGTTGAACGAATATGCCGCTGGATAAGTAATTTGCAATAATAATATTGTTTATAGTATTTTGTTTTTTTGTTTAAATAGTAATATTATTAATTATATTATTATTATTTTATTTGTTTATTTGTTTATTATTTTGAGGGGTGCGTTAATAATAATAGCAGTGCTTTAAGTAATAATAGTAATAATATTAAATGCAGCAGCAGTAATAACAATATTAAAAAGGAATTGCAATAAGACCCACACAATAATTATAATGAAAATAATAAATATAATAATAATAATAATAATAAACAATAATAATAATAATAATAAATGACAATAGTAATAATAATAACAATAAAGATAATAATAATAGTAATAATATAATAACGATGATAGACCTCCGTGTGTTTGTTTCTATGACGTTTATAAGCAGCAGCAACGTTATTTTTATTTGTTGCATTTGTATTATATCTTTTTAGGAAAATAGCAGAGGAAATGATAGAAGAGTACAGGAAAAGATCGCGGAAACATCGTTTTATTCAAACTCGAGCAGCGCTGTGTCTATGGGCTCCTGCACTCTGCTGGGTACCATCTCTGCAGCAGCAGCAGCAGCAGCAGCAGCAGCAGGAGGTGAGCCCGGTGCAGGCAGTAGCGGCAGCGGCGGAGGCTGCGGCGGTGGCTGCTGCTGCCCCTGAGGACAAAGCAGCAGCAGCTGCTGCTGCTGCTGCTGTTGCTGCTGAGCTGCAGCAACTCGATGCAGCAATTGCTGCTGCCTGTCACCAGATGGACGCTCAAGAACTACAAAATGTTATATACACCCGAAAGGCTTTAGCATCAGAGCGTTCAGCAGCAGCAACAACAAAAACAGCACGTGCAGCGCCTGCTGCTGCTGCTGCTGCTGCTGCTCACACAGCGAGGAAGGAGTCCTTACCGTCGTTGTCTGTGCAGGAGAAACGAAGTTCAGGGGTTAGGCGGGGGAGAGAGAGCATCAGCAACAGCAGCGGCAGCGGCAGCAACAGCATCGAATGCAGCAGCAGCAGCAGCAGCAGTGGCGGCGGAAGGGGAGCAGCAGAAGCAGCAACAGGAACAGAAGCATTCCCCCCAAAGCAACTGCAGCATATATCGCTTGAAGCAGCTGCTTTGAATCCGAAGGATAATGCATGCAGACGAGACAGCCGCAGCAGCAGCAGCAGCAGCAACAACAGCAACAACAGCAACGGTTGCAGCAGCAACAAAGCAGCTCAGCCTTCGCAAATGAGAGACTTTGAGATACAAAAGGCTTCAAAAGCAGCAGAAGGGAGAAAAAAGATACGGAAGACGGAGCCTTCAACCGTTTTTGCTGCTTGTGCTGCTGCTGGTACTGGTGCTGCTGCTGCTGCTGCTGCTGTTTCTACTGTTTCTGCTGCTGGAGGAAGCAACAGCAAAGTTACAGGAGAGCATAACCCTTCGGCAGCAATTCTCTCTTCGCCGTTCTGTACTCAGCAAGACACTGGAGCAACAGCAGCAGCAACACCTGCAGCTGCAGCAGCAACAGCTGCAGAAGCACCAACACCACCACGTGCACCAGCCTCAGCACAAGCAGCAGCAGCAGCAGCAACAGCAGCACCAGCAGCAACGGCAGCAAGAGCTGCAGCACCAACTACAGCAGCAGTGAACTCCGCTTTGAGTGCTACACCAGAATGCCGAGCAGCAGTGGCTGCTGCAGCAGCTTCAGCAGCAGCAGCTACTGCTGCTGAAGCTGCTGCAGATGCACCACGAGCTTGCCCAGCAGATTCAGCTTCACCAGCTCCTGCTGCTGCAGCAGCAGCAAAAGCAGCAGCAGCACCTGCTGCTGCTACTGAGAAGAGCAGCGGCGTTCCGGACTTCGCCGAAAAGTTTAGAAGGGTGACGGAAATGTATGAAGAGTTAATGAGAGGATTCAGCTCTAGCGACATCTGCTGCAGCAGCACGGAGCAGCAGCAGCAGCAGGACGAGCAGCAGGACGAGCAGCAGCTACAGCAGCAGCTGCAGCAGCACATCCAGACGCAGACGCAGCAACAGCAGCACCAACAGCAACCGCAGAAGCGGCAGCAGCATCCCCAAGGAATGCAACACATAGGAAGTCCCCACAGTCAGGACCAGCAACTGCAGCAGCAGCAGCAGCAGCAGCAACAGCAGCAGCAGCAGCAACAGCAGCAGCAGCAGCAGCAGCAACAACAACAGCAACAGCCGTTGTTGTTGCATAGGCACGAGGAAGATAGTAGACAGCGAAATCAGGAGAAGGAACGGAGCCAGCACCAGCCACAGCAGCAGCAGAGAAACCAGCTGCAACAGCAGCAACCACAGCGGCATCATGAGCAGCAGCTCGATGTGTTGAAGCAACAGCAACAACAGCAGCAGCAGCAGCAGTTATCAGAGAGTCCAATGGTAGCCGAGTGGGAGGCATATGCCGGACTTTCGGCTGGGACGGGGGATCAAGATCTCGTTTGGCAGCTGCAGCAGCAGCAGGAGCAGCAGCGGCGGCGGGAGCAACAGCAGCTGCAGCAGCAGCAGGAGCAGCAGCGGCGGCGGGAGCAGCAGCAGCTGCAGCAGCAGCAGGAGCAGCAGCGGCGGCGGGAGCAGCAGCAGCTGCAGCAGCAGCAGGAGCAGCAGCGGCGGCGGGAGCAGCAGCAGCTGCAGCAGGAGAAGGAGCGGCAGCAGCGGGATTGGCGTGTGGGGGTAGGAGAAACTTCTTATGTTGATACGCGAGGAAAGCGAGTACGGCGAGACTACAGAGAGGAGGCCTGGACCAGGGAGGAGCAGCAGCGGCAGCGGGAGCAGCAGCAGCAGCAGCAGCAACAGCGGCAGGGAGAGCCGTGCCGTCGCCTCTGTGAGGAGAAGACGTGGGAGCAGCAAAGGAGACAGAAAGATGTAGGTTGGGAGGCAGCAACACCTGTAGCTGTTCGCTGCAGAGAAGACAGCCGCCGCAGCAGTGCCTGTCCCGACAGCAGCAGCTGCAGCAGCAGCAGCAGCAGGTACACCAGCAGCTACAGCGGCTACAGCAGCTACAGCAGCTATAGCAGCAGCAGGTGCTCATCTCGGCATCATCGTCGGTCTCCGTCATTCGAAGGAAGAGAGGGGAGTAGACGGCAGGGACGCATGCATTATTATGAGGAGCAGCAGCAGCGGCAGCACCAGCAGCAGCACTTCCGCTCTGAGGGGCAGCAGCAGCATTCTTTCAACTGCCGTGAGCAGCAGCAGCAGCAATTCAGAGACAGCCGGCGGCACAGCCCCAGCCAATGGCCAGGAGAGCATCGCTCGAGGTCGGGGAGCCTTACTTCACAGCAGCAGCAGCAACAGCAGAGGCAGCAGCAGCAGAGGAGGCAGCAGCAGCAAGACGAGCAGCAAGTCTCCAGGGAGCCGCTGCATGCGCACTCTCGTCAGCAACCCCAAAGAGACAACTCGTACCACTCACTGGAACCAGCAGGTGAGAAGCAGCAGCAGCAGCAACTGCTCCTGCAGCCGGAGCAGCAGCGGCAACAGCAACACATAGGAGGAATGGCAGTGCAGGCCCGCAACGATAGCCGTCAGCAGCTGCAAGACGACCAGCAGCAGCAGACGCAGCAGCAGCAGCAGAAAGCTGCTGCGAGCGAGCCGCTCTTGATAAGGAAGACCTATCCTCTAGAACAGCACAGGCAGCAACAGCAAACGCCGCCGCCGCAGCAGCAGCAGCAGCAAAGGCAGCACCAAGGGCGAGAGAGAAGCCACGAGGCGCAGGGGAGGCACCATCAGCTACAGCAGCAGCAGCCGCAGCAGCGGCAGGTGCAGCAGCAGCACCAGCAGATGCATGAGCGCAACTGGAAAGATGCGCTGTGGGCAAAGTTTGACGAAGACGACCGCCGCAGGAGGCGAGCAGCTGACTGTATGAAGGCAGACAGCCGTTCAAATTTAGGTGTTGGGGGCCGTGTTCGTAGCAGCAACAGCAACAGCAGCGCCGGGAGCAGCAGAAGCAGCAGCCGCTGCTTTAGCAGCAGTTGCAGTAGAAGAAGAAGCCGCAGCAAGAGCTCGAGCCGTAGCTGCGGGGGACCTGTGAAGAGGCATGTGCTCACTTCTGGGTCAGTGACGCCGAGGGGAGCACAAGCAGCAGCAGAAGCAGCAGCAGAGTCAGCAGCAGCAGCAGCAGCAGCAGATTCACATTCTGTTTCTCCTTGCAACCGTGTCGCTGTGTGCCAGTCTGTTCGTCTCTGCCATACTTCACCATTAGAGGGGGCCCCGGGGGCCCCCGGGGCCCCACAGGGGCCCCCAAGTAGTCGTAGCAAGTGTTCAGAAGGCCGCCGCGTCTTTATAGGGAGCTGCGCGCGTAGCTCTGAATTTGAATTGGCTTCTGCAGGGCGGCAAGACGCATCAAGTAGGCGTAATAAACCCAGCGATGGGGTGTTTCAAGAGGCAGAGTCCTTTAAGGGGCCCCCAGAGGGGCCCCTAGTACAAAAGACTTTGCAGGGGCCCCCAGCAGAGGGGCCCCTATTAGAAAAGACTTTGCAGGGACCCCCAGAAGAGGGGCCTCTACACAAACCCGCGCAGGGGCCCCCACCAGATGGGCCCCTAGAGGGATCTGCAGGGATATCTCCCTCACCCTGGGCCGCATGGGGCTGTATTGCGGAGCCACCATGGAGAAAAAAACAATTTTTGTGTTGAATCGGCTTCAGAGTGAAGAATGCAGCAGGCATGAGGAGTCCCAGGGCAGCAGCAGTTGCTGTTGCTGTTGCTGCTGCTGAGGCAGCAGCAGCTGCTGCGAGCTGCACCGGACACCAGGCACCACACCGCTTTGCACGTTAAGGGAAGACGCCAACAGCAACAGTGCAAGCAGAATCAGCAGACTCCAACGCATTGCGCTCCACAGAGAAAACGAAGTGAGGGGCACTAGCAGGCAGAATGTGAAGACACCTCAGCGGGAGGTTGTCGTAGCAGCACAGCCTTTTGGGGGAGTGTATCCCTTGCCTCTAATAGACCGCGGCATCCCCTAAGACAGCTAACGGAACCAGTCAGCACTGGGAAACAGAAGCACCAACAGCACTGGCAGTAGCAGCCATGCCAGCGCAAGGAGAGCAGCAGCAGCGTGTGGGAGATATGCAAGTGCGCGAGCTACGGAAGCATCGCAGGGTCGAGCTGCAGCAGCAGCACCTGCTGCAAACATACTTAAAACAGCCATCGCAGAAGCAACAGCTGCAGCTGATGCAGGTGCTGCTGCTGCTGCAGCTGTGCTTCCCAGCTGCACCAGCAGCAACACCTGCTGGACAGCCCACACTTTGTATAGTAACATCCACGGCAGCACCATAACGTCCGGCCCGAGGCAGCTGCTGGAGAAGAAACAGCTGCTAACGCAGGCGCCTGACCCTGGAGTGAACAGGGGAGGCAGCAGCGGCAACAGGGGCTTGCATTAGGGTGGGAGATGACTTGCATGCTTTCCCCTCAATTCGGCTGCAGGTTAGGTGCGACGGTCGCAGGCCTTTGTTCTCAGGCACAGCGAAGACGATTGGGGATGCTGCTGGGTACAGCAGGTGCCGCGTGTATCATTTCTCCACGCAGCAGAAATAATATCAACAGCAGAAGCATGCCTGCTTTTGCTTTTATTTGTAGATATGAGTACGAGACTACCGCCCTTTGCAGCCAGTGACGCTGCTTAGGCTGGCGGCGGAGAGGAGACAGTGACCTCTCATCATTGATGACCACTAAAAGACAGCGCGGGTCTTTCACATGTGTAAGCAACGCGGGGAATTCTGCGGGAAGGCGTCTTTATGCCTCTGCATCTTTATAGAGCTGTTAGTTGGGTTAAGGGAGCACCGAAGACATGCAAGAAAATGCCAAAAGTCGAATGCGTTGCGCTTCAGTCATCTTCGACTTTTCGCCACAAAGCATGCTGAAATGCTACCGGGGGGAGGGAGAGCCTCCTTGCCAAAGGTTTGTGGCGCAGCATAGGAGGCGGCTGCCCTCTCTGTTGATGCACTTGGTTCTGTGCATAAGGTGACCCCCAAGTGCCTTAAGAGGGGCTGGGCCGGGAGCAGGACCATTCACTGCATGGTGCTCGTCTATCCGCTCTAACTTCGTTCTTATGTTAGGACATATCCAACGGAAGGTAGCGGGTTCGAACCCAACTGTGACTCTTTCAATTCATAGTTCGAAGGTTACAGGTACTACTACTGCTAGGAGAAGTTAAAACGCAATTCGTTCGTACAGCGGGGGAGACGGTGCCTATCTCCGTGAAACGCGCCCTTGGGTGCGGTGCATGCGCGAGACGATAGGGGCGCGCACCATCGCACTCCCCGGTTCGCCTGTAACTCCTAGCTGTACCTGTCGCAAGTTTCATGAAGATTTAGCTTCACTGATATCGACAGAACTAAATTTTCTTCTTCTGAGAGGCACTAGTTGTAGTGTCCCCTGCAATATCGTGCAGACATGGAGAAAGTTGTAGTGCTTGACACTACAGTAAGGCGAAAAAGTCTAGGCCGATCAGTGGTACGACCCCTGTATACCGGGGCGCCTACCGTAGTACCAAGCATTACGATGCAGCCTTGTTGCCATGATGAGCGATAAAAGCTCAGGCGACCTCGAGTGCAGCATTGGTGGCAATTCTCCCAGGTTCTGGAGGAGTTTTCAACCTGTTTGTTCTCGAGAAAGGGCGAACGTTGGTTTTAGTGATCCGGCGGTCCTTTATGGAAAGGACGTCGTGTAACGAATATAGTTACTCTAAGGAAAGACCCCGGAGTCCGGCAGTGCTCCGACGAATGACGCCAAGATTGTGGCGATAGTGCAGACGATGGGGAAAGCAACATCAAATTCGGGGGCGTGCGTTGCCCCGTACACCACGACATAATCCTACGATTGTCGTGGATGACCCAGTGAAGGGCACACTTGTGACCTCCAGACGAAACTATTGAGGTCTATGTGCCGGGAAGCAATGGGATAGTGTACCTCTCAGCGCTCCCAACAGCCTTTTTATCCTCTCGTAAGGAGACTAGAAGCGGTTTCCTATGGAAAAAGAGCGAGGATATTCCTCCGTAGCGCAAAGGCGCTGCAGGAAACGACGGAGAAATGCATGCACTCCGCCGTGATGCTCTTGGCCCCTGTGGATGCGATCCAGATACATCCCGAGGGACGGCAAAACTCAGTCCAGGAAGAATGAACTTTTAGATGCTGGGTTCTGGAGTGAGGTTCATCCTACCTCAAAGGTGCGGCTGTTGCAATGGTCCTACGGCACGCCGTAGCTAAGAGCCAACCGTCTTCGCCTCTTGGCTATAGCTGTGCGGGATGCAGTCAGTGCTAATCGCGCGCTAGATAATCCAGGCTGCGCGGGCTGCTGTCCGAAGCTTCTTTTAAGCACCTTGTTCTCTTGTGCTATACAGCCTAGGGATCCATACAAAACTAATGCCGGCACTATCACTCGATACCCGCCCTTTTCATAATGGGTCTGTTGGCTGCCTGGATGCCTGGCCTTATCCATCCCCGCAGTAGCGAACTAGGTGGCGCATGTGTGCGCTCTGGGCTCGCGAATGCACCTGACGAACTTTAGCGGCAGGCCAACCACGATTTCCGTGGGCTAGTCAATGAGGGATGGATGGCTATACGCATTGACGGAGCGCTTGCGTTTAGCCAGTGTGCAGGAGAGCCTTCCAACTGTGGCGTGCTCTGCAAATGCTACGTGAGAAGCAGCCTCTTGCGAAACACGTAGCTTTTAAGTGGCACTGGTGTCAACAACACACGGAGTAGTGAACAACGCTCGCTGCTGCCGCTACTCATGTCTGCCTTATGCATACCTACTAGGAGCACGCTCAATATTTGCTTTACACTCAGCGATTAGCACTGGTTTTCGCCGATCATGACATCAAAGGGGGGGTAGCTCGGTGGAGGAGTGACTGGTAGTATTGTACGCCAGCACCAAAGTCGGCAGTATGCCTTCCCACTCCCGCTGTGTAGTGCACAGGCACTACAATGCAGCTTTGGTGTGGCCTCTAGAGGCCTAAAATCATGAAAAGGAATGGTTACTGTAGAATGTTTCAAGGAGTAGGACACTTTTAAATAGAGAGCAGCTTAATAGGATCAGAATGCTCGCCAGCCGGCACCAGCTTGGGGCTGGGTGCGAAGCTGTTGCTGTGACCCTGGCCCACGCCCTCGGCGAGGGGTCGGGCATCAGTTCTATTATTTTGGGTTTTCCCTCAATAATTGGGGACTCGAATGTGTTCAAGAAATTCATATTTGATTAAATGGAACGTTTGTGGACTGTGCGTAGAGAATAGATACCCGATGCGGCGCTTGCACCTAGTTAGGCTTAGGAGGCATAACGTAGTAACAGTGAAGTTAGCTGTTCACTACATCATTGAGGCAAATGCGTAAGTAGGGCACAACATAACGGAAACTGTGACGGCAATGCCGGAACACGAGTTGGACGATTTCGCCGTTCTTGGCTGTGGCGGTCTGCTAGGGATCGCGGAACACAGGACACTTGGAGTACGCTGCCGCCCAGTCAAGGATTTGTGAAGGGGAGGTCTGCGGGGGGGCCCCCGGTGTGAAACTCTCGAGGGCTTGGCTGGTCTCAGGAGTCGTAGGAGTAGTTGGCGATGGTGTTGGTCGTGTCCGAGGTGTTCGAGGGCGGATGCCAGCTAGTTACCGGTAGTCTCTCTGGCGTCCCCTACTCTTGTACGGTGGATCTGGCGGGTCGGTTGCCAGCGCAAGGGACGTCAATGACCCAACTGGGGGCGTGGGGAGTTCAGTGGGTGTGGTGGTTGAGCTGGGTGTAGGGTGGAAAGGGTGCCGAGACAAAGCGTTTGCCACCTGTTTACGCGCACCGGGCAACTAGGTAATAGTAAGGTCTGGAAACTCAGCCAGAAAATCTAACCACCGAGCAGTGCGGCCGCGTAAAGGCTTCGACACCTTGAGCTGTTGTAACCGGGTAAGGGTTTGGTGGTCGGTGTATGCCGTAACCTTAGAAACTCGCAACAAGTGGGCCCACTTGTCGAAAGCAGTAACTAAGGCCAGGAGTACTTGATCGTATATCGAATATCTCTGCTGAGTGGGATTCATAACCTGGCTGAGAAACCCTATTGGCTGGCCGGCTAGCTCAAGGACGGCTCCCATTGCATACCCTGAGGCATCTGTGTACAACTCAAGTGGTTTCGTAGTGCCAGGGACATGTAGTGTTGTATAATCAACTAATCGGTGCTTGAGTCGCCGCACCGCCTGAGTATGAGTATCTGTCCATTGGAAGGGGGCCCTTTTACGCGTCAGAGCAACACGCGGTCGGGCTACCTTTGCATAATCGGGGCCCATGAACATTCGGCAATAATTAACTGTGCCCAGGAACTGGCGTACTGGCGTCTCATTCTGCAATACCTCCGGCCACACCTGTATGACTTCAATGTTGTCTGCAGCTGGTTTAATGCCCTCGGCGCTGATCGTATACCCAAAGTATGTGAGATCCCGCTTCGCAAACTTGCACTTGAGAAACTTCGGGTAGAATTGGTGTTTGAGAAAGATACTTGGCACTTGCCGGAGGAGGGCAACGTGTCTGGGGAGATCTGGGCTATAGATAAGTACATGATCAAGATACGCTATAACACCTTGACCTAATAAAGGCTGCAGGTAGGCACTGATATTAGCTTGAAAGGTAACGGGTGCACCCTGGAGGCCAAAGGGCATAACCTTGTGCTCGAATAGCCCCATGACAGAACGGAAAGCTGTCTTCCACCTATCTTACTTAGCCATCCGGATCTGGTGGAATCCTGATTCTAGGTCAAGGGTAGAGAAATATCTAGCGCCCCCTTACATCTCAAGAATAGTTTGAATAGGAGGTAGAGGGAAGTCCGGGGCTATCGTAAGAGCGTTCACTTCCTTGACGACCATACGCATCTTTCGCTCGCCTGTCCCATCGTCACGCTTATCTAGCATAATCGTAAGGGCACATATGGGAGAGTATGTAGGCCCTATCCACCCATTAGCCGACAGCTTGGCTATCTCCTGCTTGTGAAATCGAAGCTGGTCTGGGGTCATGCGATAGATCGCGGACTTCGTAGGTAGCTTTCCACGCACGAGAAGAATCCGATGATCGTATGGGCGCTTCGGGGGCAATTCTGTAGGGAGTTTGTCAGGAAGGACAGCACGGAGTGCTCGCAACACATCGAGTGTCTCACGTGGAGTGGCTTGTGCCTCCTCCGACGTCATCCACTCATCAAATTGAGTACACTCTAGTACGGCTGTTGACCAAGGGGGTTCCTCCTCATCGTCCGCTAACGCAGTAGCATCGGGGGCTGCTAGACATGCCAGTCCGCTGGCGGTAGGGTGGGTGTCAATCATTGCACAGCACAAGGCCCCTTGACACGCATCCAACAACCTCAGGGCCACTATCTTCTCGGCAGCGGGTAAAGCTAGTATGACAAATAGTCCATGTAGTGGATGGTGTAAGCACGCCCTGCTCTCGTTAGCCTGTTGTAGCAGTACTTCTGCCGTCGCCTTCTTCCCCGCCCCTGTGTGCGCCTTGTACCTCCTAGGAGGCGGTTGTAGACGTGCCCTAGCCTCCTCCCTTCTCATACCTGTCACTTCTTTAGCCAGTATATCGTATGCCTGCTCAGCAGGGGTCCGCTGGCGCTCCTCTGGAGTGCTGCCGTTCCTATGTTTTTCCCCATTGGCACGGGCTATAGGTAGTTCGCACCACTGGCCATTCACGTACGTATGTAGCTTATCAGACTGAAAATACCAAGCCACCTTATGCTCATTCAACCAATCATGTCCCACTACTAGGTCATATGGTACGGGCCCTACTAACAAATTTCCGAATAAGCGTGCACCCCCACACCACATCGTTAGCCACTTCACCACGTGATAAATCCGTAACTACTCACCCTTAGCTACGGTGAACATGCACTTCTCTGGGAACCGCCACACTCTCAGCAGTAGACGTTCGGCCTTCCGCAGACCTCGAAAATCCTCGAAGCCCCGGTGTCTAAGAGCGCCTCACAAGGAATTCCTGCCACTTTGACCCTCAATATTGCTGTTGTACCCGCACTACACAGAGTCCCTCTAAAACGGGAGTTTTCATTCGCCCCGTTCCCTCGCCACCACTGTGGCTCCTTATCGTTCTCTTCCTGCGTAGAACTCTCATCTGCCCTATCACCTTCCACTTCACTGCTGCACCTCTGCTCGCCCTTGGGCCTTTCCCTTGGTAACAACGTAATCCCGGATTACCACTGCTCCGCCGATGGCTGCTGGTCTGTCCCCACTTCCTGCCACTTCCTACTGTACTGGCCTGCACCTCCCTCCCGAGCAACTTCTTTTTCCATTTTGGAGAGACTGGCATTAGGTCCCGTCGCTACTGCACACAGTGCACCCTTACCACGGGTAAACCGCCTAGTACGTTCGTCTCCCTTAACGACTAGGCTCGATCGTTTAAACGCCCAGAACTACCGGCACTCGCGCGCGTTGGCTGTTGTTCGGGCTTCCGGACTGGCTCTGCTCTCGCTCGACCCGGTGTAGGGCAGCCTCTAGCGTAGTGCCCCATACCTCCACATTTCCTACATCTTTCCCCAGCACGTCGTGAACCATTGTTGTGTGATGGGCATTGCGAAGCCACGTGCCCCTTGGCCCTGCACTCAAAACAGGCGATGTCCCTTGTCGCTCGTCGATCCCGTGGATTATCTCGATCTCCATATCTTTGCGTCGCATCAGACACATCTCGTACAGTCCGTCGTAGATCGTGTAAGGACAATCTAGTTTGCCGCAGATAATCCAATGTCTCTTCTCTTGTCCGCACTATCCTCTCTAGCTCAGCGGCAGCGTCTTCCCAGACTGTGAATTTCACATGGCCTTCCTTTGTCACTCTTAGGGCGACATCCTCAGGCAAGTTAGCTAAAAAAATGGCCACTAGCTGATCGAGCGGGAGGGGTTCTCCCTGACACAGGACCGCTGAAAATTCTCCGGCATTCTGTACAGCACCACCCTGTCACCTGACTGTAGACAAACGCAAAGCCATTACATCTCGCGGAATCCCACAGAATCTAGTGAGTAGCGAGCGTTTAACACGTTCCCAGTCGTTCAAATCAGCCTTGGTATCCTACAGATAGAACCAGTACTGTATGGCACTCCCTGTCAAGTATTTGCGCAGTTCGGCCCCCCACCGGTCATAAGGTATCCTTGCCTCTTCGTACGACATCTGTAAATGACGAAGGAAGTACCTCATGTTCTTCCCACTCTCAGGGAGAATGTTAAGATCGGATCTCCGGCGGTTGTCTGCCTTAGGTGGTCTCGGCTCTTGGAAATCACCTCGTGGGCTCTGGAGTGGGATAATCGAGTCAGAGGACGGTGTCATTGTCCTTTCTGCAAAGTGCCCTCCCAGTTTCTTAGTGATATTTCTCTCTGTAGTATGAATGGGAGTTTCTTCAGCTCCCTCACCTAATTCACTTTCTGATTCGTAATCGGTCGTCCTCGTCTCCCTTACAGCTTGTCTCGTGTCTGCGCCGAAGACCTTCACCAGCCGTCCTGCATGTGTGCGTTAGTCCCTCCCTGCTTGCTTCCTTCAACAAATATACTCAATATCGTCTGTAGGCGCAGACTAAACATCGAAGGCAAGAAGCCTCTGGTTTTAAGTTCCCGGAACGGCCCCCAAATGTAGTGAACAGCTGGCCTTCATTGTTATTGCGTATGCTCCCTAAGCTATTATGATTAGGTGCACACTTGACAACTAATTACTTATATCCATGATCCTCGTCAAATCCTCTACATAACACAATAGATAGCCATTATACATTCGAGTTCACTTTACTGTTTCCGGCGAAAAACCCCGAATAGTAGAACTGGCCCTCGACCCTCGCTGAGGGTCAGTGCCGGAGTCACAGCAACAGCCTCACACCCAGCCACAAGCTGGTGCTGGCTTGCGAGCACTCTGGTTCTATTAAGTTGCTTTTCTATCTAATAGTGTCCTAATTTCTGGAGTATTCTATAGTATTTATTCCTTTTCGAGATACTAGGCATCTAGAGGTCACACCAGAGATCCATTGTAGAGCCCGTGCACTACAGCAGGTCAGCGCTTCGACTACAGTGACAGTTTCACAGCCAGACCCAGCGCCTGGGAAGCAGCCGAGCGTTCTTAGACTGATGTTCTTATTTCCTGTCAGGTGGCTTGATTTTCTTCCAGTACTCGCTCTGCCGGATGGACCCCTACAGGTCCAGTTTGAGAACCGCACTAGTGCATGTGCAATACACACACCGGAGCCGGCAAAGATAGGGGCCATTCCGAGGTTTCCGCTATGCCTGCATGCTTGCGCTCATGTCAATAGATTCCTCGGTTTCACATCGTAATACAGCGACGTTATCCTTGGATTTCTTGTCATCTCCGTCTTTCTAACCGGTATACTTAACACGGTCAAGCGGTTCCTTTGGGCAGAACGTGAAGATATAAACGGCAAAAGCCTCATCAGACGACTAATGGTGCCCCCAGTGCTGGAGCTCACTGTGTTTAACAAATCCTTCTTCCTAACGATAGACGGCAGCGAGACAGCAGTTGTGGTGGTGCATTTTCTGCAGGCCTACGACTCGGAAAAGCCCTAAATAATTGCATGTTACTCACATCGTTCTGCAGAAACAGAGCAGAAGTGTTTGGCACGCAAGAAGGAGCTCTACGCGTTCTCAAGAAGAAGAAAAGTGTACAGGTTACTTATTATCTATCTTCATCCCAAAAACCATGAACCCCTACATGTGGCAGGCATATCACTGTGTGAACTGATAATCAGGCAATGACGCGCCTGACGAGGGGCTTCCAGAAGTACGATAACGAAACAGCGATTCGGTGGCTCTGCCACTTTGTGCGCGATGCATTCTCACGGCGCCCTATTAGTACAGGATTGTGTTTCACGCGTGCGAATGAGTGCGACGGCTCCCGTCTTCTTCGCAAGTTGTGTAATTCTTAGTCTTATTCGTATACGCTGAAGCGCATGCAGATGGATTTGGAACTACGACATAGACGGCGATCGTTTTTGGTGCCAGTCTTCACCGCCTATGCATTCCGCATTCGCTTCACACAAAATGCGCTATCATGATATGGCGATATATGGTGGGGTCAATACAACAGATGAGAGAATCTGCTTAGGTCCTTGTGCTTGGCTGGTGATACACCACCACGCGGATGAGTATTTCGGCATTTTCCCGGAATGCCAGCAGCACAAGCTGCATACCACTCTAAAACTCGGGCTTTTGCAGAGTCTCCAATCCCCAAATGGATCGGGACTCATAATTCATTGTATCTCACAGGTGCTTACCGCCAGTATGAGGCTCCAATATCTGCGTCTTCTTGAATATACCCAGCAAGCATGCCCCGTCCACGCTTTCTTTGGGTACAGCAGCAAGGAAGGCCGAATTATTCTTTAATCTCATCCGGTAGCTCCTCGCTTCTCCGAAAAGCATCGTTGCTGGCAACGATCCGAAGCTCGTTAGCTGTTATTGGCGGGAATTTAGGAAGCGGCTTAATGCCGACAATAAGAAGCGCGCAGCAAAGCAACTGAGGGCAGACGGTTGAAGTGAGCGCGCCGGATTCACGCTGGTGTAGTATTTGTGACTTCCAAGGGTGGCTTGGCTTCCTTCCCTGTGCAGAACTGGCTTGTGTTACGACGGTGCATTCTTCGACCGGTTGCTCTCCTCCATCCTTTATCTACTCCAAATCACTCATATCTGTGTTAAGGCCGGCTATACGTCCGCCGCTTCCGATTTCCAAATGCAGATACCAGCATTCATGGAATCCACGGTAGAACCCCAAGAATTCCAGGAAAGAAACCACGATAAACTGCGTTCAGCAGCTCAGTTCCTGCGCCTCAAAGAGATTAAATCACTCTCCAGGTCAAGTTCCGACCTGTAAGAAAGGTATAACGACTTGGACGCTGACTTGGAGAAAGTTTCATCGAAATAGATTAAACAAGAAATACTATGTTACTTAAATACAACTATAGAACCTATCTATTCAAAAAAAAACCCTATCTAAATTTTTAAATTGCTGTATCTACATTGTTAGGGGATGCTTTGTTTCAATGGATTCACACGCTCTCCGAGGAGCGCAGGAAGGCGCGCATCCGAAGATGTTCGTCGTGCGTCGGATAAGGATCTTAGCTGTTCGCAGTCGGGCTAACGCATTGGCTCGCATCGTGGAGTTACCCAGATGACACCGTTGCGATCCAACCCGTTTACGCTGGTTTTCTAAAACGGCTCAGCGGCAGCAACGTCGCAGGAGGAGACTAAGATTCTGGTGGTAAAGTATAACGACTCTCATAGGCCGCCCAAAACGAGAATATAATGTTAAATGGCCAAGTGACAGACATCCCGAGTGGGTTTTCGGGGTCGCTTCTGCGAAGACATTTCTCAGGAGCATCTACGTGCTCTCGTCGAATAAACTAAGGCGAATGCAAGTGCGGGCATGCTACCAATTTGCCCGCATTCAAGCATTCCGCGATTGCAACTCTCTCATTTGCTCTCATATCTCCTGCCCTATGTAGTCTCCGGTGCTCATTACCTACTGTTGTGATCTGAAACATTCCTTTTGCCTGCCTATAGCTTGGCGCCGCAGCCAGCCCACCTTCAGTTTCCCTTAGCTTAGGTTTTTTGGGCTCGACTGCAGCTTACGACGGTCCTCGCGTAAGAGCGGGGTCTTTCATTGTGTAGCTGACCTCTCATTCAGCCTCCAGGCTATCTGGGCCTAAGAGCGTGGAGCTGGTGCGTGTTAAAGGGGCCCAAGGTGAGTTGGAAGGTTCCTTGGTGTAACTGGTAGTGCCAAGCAACCCCACAGTCAGGGACAACCAAGCCCCGTTTTCCGCATGCACTAACACTTTACACAATTGTTGAACAGTTTCTTCGCCCCTAGCGTGCGGGCAGCACCTAAGTAGAAATACACGTATCAACTTCAGACAGATCGTGCAATATTTCTGATGTGCAGGCCTGGGTATGTTTGCAAGATTGTCGGGGCCCCCCAAAACCACTAGCCATCATCCAGACTCCAGTTATTGCACTGCATTGCCAATATATGCTATTGTTTATTATTAAATTTATAATTTAGATGTGTTTTAGATGATTCGGTCTGAGATCCCACGCAAATCGCTGATTCCATTGTAGTGCCTGCGACTACATCAGGGCACAGCCCCAAACATCTGCCAGTGCCTTGTTTGCATAATGCACAAGAGGGCCCCCCAAACTTGAAACAACAAACACATATTTTGTCTTAAACAATATTTTTGCTTTTGCTATCCGTTACTTTCGTTGGGGTTCCCCTATTGCTGTATTGCCCCACCCATCACCGACCGAGCACGGAAACGTGTTTGGCATCGAAGTTGGGTAGTATCGAACTTCTGTTCTTTCTGCCGCCTTTTAAACAGTTATCAGGACACCGTTTATCGGAGTGGGGTGTACCGACACTACAACAAACGACGACACGGCTTTGTAGCAACCTCGGGGTATCGAAGCCCCAACGGGGAAAATGGAGGAGGACCCCAAACCTGCAGCAGCTGCAGCTCCACCGTCCAGGTGAAGATATGGCCGTTTCTATGCATTCACACAGATTGCCTAGCGCGGTTCCTGCCAGCCACTGCTCAGTCTTCTTTGATAGAGATAACACGCAGCGCTCATGCGCTGCGCGTACTGTGTGGGAAGCTGGCAGCTAGGTTTATGATGTCCAGTACTTTGAATGTATTTTGTTTCTCAGTGAAGGCGTGAAGGTCACAACTTCGGGATTGACGAAGCAGCAACAACAAAGAGTAGCGGCTCACAGCCACATTCGTTCCCTGGGCTTGGCAGCAGATGGCACCGCATTGCCACAGGGGGGAGGTATGGTGGGTCAGCTGGAGGCGAGGGAGGCTGCCGGCATTATTGTGGATTTGATAAAGGCTCGCAAGCTAGCTGGTGAGTGCTTTGCGTATTTGCTTGCGCGTTCTTCTGGCTCCTGCTGCTGGCAGCTGCTTGGGTCCCGTATAGCCGCTACAGTGTAGAGGCCTCTTACTTCGTTGTTTCTGTGCGGGAGTGCAGGTCAAGCGTTGCTGTTGGCGGGGCCTGTGAGTTCTGGGAAGACGGCATTGGCGATGGGCATATGCGGACAGTTGGGGACGGGGGTTCCTTTTGTGCCGCTGGCGGCGTCGGCTGTCTACAGCAGTGAAGTGAAAAAGACAGAAGTGCTCCTTGAGCACTGTAGAAGAGCTCTAGGCCTTCGTATTCGAGAGGTTAAAGAGGTGTTTGAGGGAGAGGTTGTTCAGCTGGCCGCCGAGGAGGCTGAAAACCCTCATGGGGGCTTCGGTACGTCAGCGCACGAATGCACTCAGAACAGCAACCCTTGCCTGATAAAATTTGTCGTTTTTGCACGTATTGAATGCGTGCAGCAATTCGCTGTCAGGAAGACTCGTCTATTAGTAGAGTTCTTCCCGTTTTCTGTTAGTAACGGCATGCAGCAACTTGCTTCTAGCAGCTGCTAGCAGCCATGGATTTTTTGAATTCTCTCTAGTTTACACGGTCCTGGCACTTGCACGTGTGTACATTGGCATGTTTGGGCGTGGTAACGGTCGTGGCGGCGAGTTGGGGATACGATTGAGGTGTTGGTGTAGCGGGTGTTTGGTTTTGCCTCTTCTGTTTGTGCATGCGCAGGAAAATGCATCAGTGCTGTGATGCTGACGTTGAAAACGGTGAAAGGGATGAAAACGCTGAGATTGGCGCCTCAACTGCATGACGCTTTGCAGAAGGAGAAGGTCCGCGTCGGCGACGTGGTGTTCATTGAAGCGAATACAGGCAAGTTCCCCAGCAGGACGAACCCAAGCCAAACTGAAGTTTAACAATTCGTTCGTTACGACGCTGTAGATCTGAGCATGCCACACAGTTACCCTCTGCTTCTTGCGCTGCCTGCAGGTATTGTGAAGCGCGTGGGCCGCAGTGATGCGTTTGCGACGGAGTTTGACCTCGAGGCTGAGGATTTCGTCCCGGTTCCCAAAGGCAATGTGGAAAAGAAGAAAGAAGTCGTTCAAACTGTATCCCTGCATGACCTTGACGTCGCTAACTCCAAACCACAGGTGCTGAGCGAACTATTTGTCCTGTGAATCAGTCCCATTGCTCACTACACGCATGTGCATGCAAGATGAAGCATTCACGGTCGTTTCTATCAACGTATATTCTTGCAAGCACTGGGGCTTGGAAATTGGGAACATATGCACTTGTAAGGAGCGGGCAAAGGACTGAGGCGATTATATCTGCTCAGGGTGGCACGGACGTCATTTCGATGATGGGCGCCTACATGAAGCCACGCAAAACTGAAATTACAGAACGGCTGAGGGAGGAAATAAACAAAACTGTCAACAAATACATTGAACAAGGCGTAGCTCAACTGATTCCAGGAGTCTTGTTTATTGACGAAGTCCGTAAATAGCCCAGCCCGTCGTCCGGGATACAAGTAGCGTTAGCGGTTCTGTGTAGAAGTAGCAGGAAATTCACAGGGGTTGAACTAGTATAGTGTTCACTGAGTCTAAGAGCATTGTTCGTTTGTTCCGCAGGTCCACATGCTGGATATCGAATGCTTCTCCTTCCTAAATCGCGTTCTGGAGTCGCCGATGAGTCCTATAATCATTTTTGCTACCAATCGGGGAGTAAGTTGACTTTATCTGCTCTCTTGTGGCGGCAGGCGGTTTGTGGGTGTACGCTATATATATATAATATATATATCTTTCCAGTCTTCACAGAATTCAGGGTGAAATGGTGTCGGGAGTGTGGCTTTGTATTTGAGCCGTTTGTTTCTGGCTCGTGAGTGGGCGGACTGCGTTCGGTGTGCTGTTGAAGGCGAAGTGCCTTCGACAGAATGTGTGCATGCAGTGAATTTCGACTTCTTTCTGGCCCGTTTGATGTTGAAAACAATTGTCAGAGACAGTGAACGTTTGCGCTTCAGGTCAGCACCGTACGTGGCACGGATTCGGTAGAGCCTCACGGCATGCCCGTGGACCTTCTTGACCGCCTGCTTATTATAAAAACACAGCCATACACCGTTTCGGAAGTACGTCCTTCCACGAGACAGCTAGCATGCGCCTAGGCTAGTGGTGTTCCGTTCGCAAGAGGTATGGTCTATGGCGTTCCATTCGGTCGCAAGAGGCACGGTCTACAAGAATTAAGTTAAGCACTTTTCTCGTCGGGCTTCGGTGGATATGTGCTCTCAGGTGGTGCAAGTGATACAGCTACGTGCAGCGGTAGAGCGCGTTAGCCTCTCTCCCGGTGCGCTGGAAGCCATCGGAGAGATCGGCGCACAGACATCTTTGCGCTTTGCGCTGCAACTTTTGGAGCCCTGCCGTCTTGCAGCGGAGGCTAGGGGTTCAGAAATAGTCGAGGCGAGTGATGTTGCGGACGTCGACGCCTTATTCCTCGATGCCAAGGCCTCTGCGCTGAGGCTTGCGGAACAGGCGCATCGCTTCCCCTCCTAGACTGATTTGCAAGCACTTAACTTGTTTCTGCCTTATTTTCTCTTTTCTTTCGTGTTCTTTAACCTAACCTCCATCTGTATTGGGGGGCGAACATAGCAGCTTTACAGTGCCTTGACTGGTCTTGCAGCCGCAGAATTAGAAGCAAGCTCAGGTATCATCGTCCTTCTGCCAGGGCTTTGAGTACCGTGCATGTGTAGTAAATAATCTAAGCATCTATCATGCTTTTTGACAAGAGCAGCATATAGTGCGGGAGTGGGGCTTTTCCTTTGCACTCTGTTACGTTCCCCGTATCTGACGTAACGCCATACGCCTGCTATATCTAGCAGGCGTATGGCGTTAAAAAAGGTCTTATGAAATCCGGACGAAATTGCTCCTGCGCCCTCTTGCACGGAGGTGGCATGCCCTCTAGATCCGCCAACTAAGCTCCCTGAGAGATGATGCACAGTAAAAGCCTGAGATATGCCGCCAAAGTTCTAAGTTTGGGCGCCACACGCGGAGATGCTTTAGTAAAGCACAGGGGCAGGTGACGCACGTCTTTTTTTACCCACACCTACGTGGCGACTAGACAAAGTAGACAGGGCATATGCTCTGTAACGGCCCATAAAGAGTATCAACAGTGATGCGAAGGCGAGCTGCGCGTGAGTCAGCTGAGCCCACTGTCACTTGCCTTTCCATTAGAGTCATGCGGCCCTCCGTCGTTGTAGATATTCACCCTTCAAACCCGATGCCTGGGTGCTGGTGAGGTTTGACTAGGGCTCTGAAGACCCTGGCAGCATTCCCTAGAACGAGAGAACCGCGACAAATCAACTTACATGTCTTGGAGAAACGGTGCTTGCATAAGGCTGTGCAAAACAATAAGTCTCAGTCAAGAAGGACAGGCATGAGCAGGCAAATTTGTACTTCTCGTGGGAGTTCGCACGCCACATTTCACATTGAGGCGCCCGAGAGCTCCAAGGCAGGGCGATTGTGCTTCAAAGCCTTGAAGCCTCTTTACCAAGGGACAACCGACCCGAGTATCCCGAAACCAAGGGTATATGGCTAATAAGCAGGTGAGGCAGGGATGAGCCTACTGCAGGTGCTGATATCATCGAGAAAACTGAAGCTTAGTCCAAGCAGCCTCCACGGCCAGGGAAACACCTCGCTCAGAGAATAGGAGAGGGAGGGCCTCTGGAACCAATCCACCAGCTTCCTCCCCCGAACAATACGGACTCAACCAGCATTCACATATCAGGACGGCCGCATGCAGCTAAATGCAGAAAAAATCACACAGTCGACAACGGCGTGACGCAGATCGTGTTGCTTAACAGTCGAGTCTATGCAATGGCGACAAAAGTTCGCATGAGAAACGAATGTATTCAGCCTTTAATCTTTGAAATATGACTAATAAACGTAAAGGAAATAGAAAAAACTCTAGGTCGTAGCTCCTTTGGGACATGGATCTGCCGCCGACACAAGAGTGCCGACGTTGGAACAGTAGGCCAGTGGACAGGAAAAACAAATGTTAGTCTTCATGTTAATCGATCGTTACAGGGAATGAGCATCAAGCATTTGAAATCAATTTTACACAATGTTTTCCAAGGAAATCATGAGGATGCGTGCTGCTGCACATAAGTTGTGCTTTGTGGGGCCTCAGGCTGCGTGGTGATCATTAACAGAGTGAGAGCTCCCCAGTCGTAGAAAGTACAGCGTGGAGTGAATATCTTCTTCCCTTTGAAATATATATTGCTTTGCCTTTTTTCTGTAAGAACAACGGACGTTGTACAGAAGAACGAGAACACGAGATTTTCTAAGGGCTAGCCAGTCAGACATCATCACCGTCATCGCGTTTGTAACTGCGAGCGCTTAAGGCTCCATGGGCTCCCCTCTTAAGCCTGTCTCGTCTCTTGCATATTCCTCCTGTGCAACACCGCACTGAGTGGGTTTCTCATCCCTCATGCCTACTGCTGGCTGCAGCTTCTCGCCCCCCAAAGGTTTGGGTCTTCGTCTCCAGTCGACGCCGACGCACGCACCAGCACTCTTCCGTGGCATCAGCATCTCATTTATTGGTTTTGATGCTGAAGGCCTCTGCGCAGTTGCAGAAAATGCATCGAAAGCAACGGGGGGCCACGTGGCGGAGGTCTCAAATGGAGACGGAGCAGGCGCTGCCCCCCTCTCAGGAGCCCTTGGTGCAGATGCTGCCGCGGCAGGAGATATCCTCCACGTAATGCAAAGGAAGGCGGAGGAGGTAGGTATATAGGGAACTGGCAGATGGGGTAAATAGCTAACAAATTCACTGGATGTTGGGCGTCCTAACGCTCAACCAATACGAGAATACTCCACTCACTTCTTCACTTATCCTTGTGTATATAAGTATAGCCATCTAATATATTATCTGCCCGGCTCCGCTTCAGCCAGCAGTGGGAGCATGGGCTGAGCCAGGCTGGTGCTCCAACACCACCCAGCAACAGGCAGCAGCAGCAGCTCCACCACCAGCAAGAACACTTTCATTGTGCACGTGTGGAATATGTGTCTGCAGGCAGGAGCCCGAGTGCTGGATGCATCCCGGGAGGGCATCGCTGCAGCAGGTTTTCTAGTGTGCAATTTTGCTGCGGCTTTCATGCACCTCAGGCGGCTAGCTGGGCCGTCTTCTGCAGGCCTGTTGTTGGGTGGTGTGCAGGAGGAGCCGCACCAAGTGGTAGCGGCGTTGGAATTGGAGCCCCTAAGGCTGGTGACTCCCTTCTGGCTCTTCGCCTGCCTCCGCGATGGGCGCGTGTATGCTCCTGAAACGCATCCGCTCTTCCGCGTCTCCGCAGCCCTAACCCACACACAGCCCCCCCTGTGGCGCGTCCATCAAGGTGTGCAGATGCAGCCTTCTATGTCGCGTAGTCAGCGGGTCCTCTTACTGGGTTTTACTCGGAGGCTGCGCCGCGTCAGGCGGCCTCGAAGTTTTGCATACGGCGTTCTATCCTCGGATTCAGAAGAAGAGAACAAGGAGGGAGAGAAGCCAGAAGCAGCTGGCCATGCCCTTGCAGCACATGACCTGGAAATGGGCGTCGCTTGCGTTGAGGCTTTGGGGGGCTCCTGCCTGTCTGCCTCTTCAGTGTTACGGGCAACTGAGGAACATTCTTTTGGGGACCTCGCAGCAGCAGACGACGATGCAGCCAGCGACGCCGCAGAAAGGGTGGGAGTGGACGTTGTTGTTGTGGGTCGTCTCGCAAGGCTCCGCGACGCAAGCGCTGCTTTGCTGGATAAGGGAACAGTTCTTCATGAAACTGGCACTCAGCAGCTGAGGACGATCACACAACGAAAGAAACGAAGACTTGGGGCCGAGGCTGAGCTCGCGCTGCTGTACAAACTGCAGGGGCTGCGCATTCCGTGTGTACATCATCAGTGGCTCCTCGACGCATATTGCTTTGTAAGGAATCAGCTTTAGGGGACTCCTCCTTTCTTAATGCTACGCCTATGCAGAAGCGCTTTTCTTACATCCCGCTGTTGCTGCAACCAGCCAAACTGTCACAGCAGTCGTATCCCCTGTCTATTTCGTGAATGCTGAAAGCCCGTCCCGTATGTGCACTGCTTCAATTCTTTTCGGGGCATGCGACGTAGGGGCGTGCACCGCCGTTTGACGCATATGCCATCCCGCCCCAACCGGCTCACCAGATCGAAGCACCAGCAGCCGCCAGCGCTGCGACCCAAAGGCAGGAGGTGCTGCAGGGCGTGCAGGTGCTCGTGGCAGACTCGGAAGTTACCCGAGATCCTACGCTGCTACAAGTAGGCACCGTTCGCTGCTGCTGCTGCTGCTGTTCTCCGCAGCTGCGGCTATACTTTGCCCTATATACACGGAAGGTACTGCTGGTTATGCTGGCAACTGTTTGGGTGACGTTTCTTAGATGGGCTACTCTTGCTAGTCCATGGGCGGCGAACTGCAAGACGCTTGCGCTTGTGAACTTTGCAGCGCGTAGGCGAGCTCGGTTGTACAGACGTCACGGCTATCCCCTCCCTCCTGGGTATCTGTCCTTGGCTTTTCAGCTCCAGTGCAACTCGAGAACTCGCTGCAGTGCTGTGCGGATGCAGCGATCGGGTTCAAAGCGTTACCGCTGCGGTATGGCGGCAACAGATACTGCCTCATCTCTGTAGAGGCGTTATAAAATTTGCTCGTGCCATCGGTGCCAAGGTCTCATTCTCGAGTCGGGACTGTCTGCGTGCAAAGGGCTAATACTGATTCAGGTATTGCTGCAAACTAATCTGTGTATGTGTACTGCTGTCTTTTTTTGCCAGCTGGAGCGAGCTGAAGCTGCAAGGAAACGTAGTTGTCAAGATTTTGCCGCAGTGGTTTTTGTGATTAAGAGAGAAGACTTGGCGGGGCTAATGGACTTGGCCGCTGTCGCTGCCGAAGCGGTTGAGGCAACGGCCAGCAGTCAGCAGATTATCGAAGTTGCGCCGACAGGGCGGGCCGCAAGCACCCGAAGCGCCCAGCGCCAGCAAGCTCCTCCAGCGCAGCAGGACCAGCAGAAGCAGAAGCTCCGAGCATTGATTTCGGCTGCGCAACAGCGAGTGTTGCAACAACTGCCAGCTGCAATGGCCTGTCAGGCGCAGCGGCTGTGGGAGGGCGCAACAGCCGTTGCAGTTCGTCCAGCCGAAGCCAATGCAGCAGCCCTCGTTGCCAAGCGCAACGTCGCAGCCCTTGCGGAAACGGCGCCGCTAGCTGTTTCTCCGGAGTGGATTGCGAGTTGTTGGGCTGAGGCTCGTCGTGTCCCCGCCGATACGGCTCATGGACGTGTCCAGGCAAGCATGAACAGCAGGCATATTCCCAGGATTTCGATTCCAGCTGAACTTTGTGAGTTTGCTTGTTCGCCAGAAACGAAGAACCATGGGAAGGGAACTCTGATATTACTGGGTATGCGCGCAGGCACCCGAGTTTTGGGCTGACGTTCTTGCCTCCGACTCGGGAGGCCACATAGAGGATGCCGCTCTGCTAGCAGCACTTCAAGACTGCGGGGGTGCAGTCATTTACGGAGACTTCCCAGTTGTGACTGATGCGAAAGAAGCGAGGTAATTTAGGGCTGCAGGGCTCTCTTCTGTGAACGCAACTGGTACACAATCTCTGTCGGAGTTTACTTGTGTAACGCGGGTATTGGTATATCCCTGTAGGCTGCTATTTAGTGCAGGAAATAGAGAACTAGTAAACTACTGCTGCGCTCCAAGTGATTCCTAACGCCCCTCTTGTGACTGTCCAGGCTTCGGAGAGCGGTGGGAGCACTTGAACACGCGTTGACTATCGCTTGGGATATCCACCAGGGCAGGCTCTTAGAACATGCCCCCTAACGCTAATATCATTGCCACCTTCTGCTTTACCCATCTAACCTTTTCTCTAAGCAACTACCTCCTCCTCTGCGTGGGAGATGGAAGGCCATAAGCTTATCAAAATGACTGCGTAACTGGCAGGGTGGTGCGCCCGCTTCCAGCTTCTTGGCTTGGTGCTGCTCTCAGCCCCCGCAAGAGATTGGGGACACGCAACCCTTTCCAACCTTCAGAACTTTGCAAACTTCTACATTTGCTTTTCATAAATTTTGGAGCTTCTTGCTGAGCCACTATGATTTGCTTGGGAATTTGCCTCGGTCGCTGTAGTTGGTCCGTCTGGATTGTACACTCCAGTTAATGGCAAGGGGCAAACTTGCACAATTGCAATCGTTGAGCGAGAGTACCTTATCATTGGCTTCGTGTCGATCCTCAGATCTTGTGAACTGCAGCGCGTGCAGCCTGCATTCTGTTACATAGTCTGTCGAAAGGGGTCTCGGGAATCATATGTAAATATATATATATATATATATATATATATATATATATATATATCGTGCGAAGTGTACATATCCGCTAGCATGCTTTTCCCACCATTCTTCAGTTCCTCGTCGGTCATCAATCTACCACGATACTCTTGTAACGTGTTGGATTGGTGAGTCCTTTGGCAATATGAATTTTCAAAGATCAATAATAAAGTTTACTGTTGGCCACGTGGCGGGACCGCTGCAGCTCTCTGCCCTTACAGCGCCTGCCACTGTGGTAGTGCACACAGTGCAGCCAGACATGTGCAGAACAAGATGGCATTCCTCACCGCTAATGATCACTGAAAGCTACGGCTAGTTGCCACATGAATGTGAAGCAGCCCCTACCGCACCTGCTGACAATCTGCCACCCATCTTCCGTAGTCCCGGGCACTTGTACCCGTTTGTCCAGCGCTCGACGAGGCTGTAAAAATGGCCAGCTGCTTTGGTAGGGACTCTTGAATTAAGCATTGTGGCTCTACTGCAGCTCACCATGGTCCTCTGCTAAGAACGAGGTGTTTTCTAGCATTCAATGTGATGGCTTGAAGACGAAAATTCGCACACGCCTTTTTGGGGAGTCTATGGAAGACAAACAAAAAAATTCCTGTCTAGAAAAGTGCAGTTGATGCTTATCTTTCCATCCTATACTTCATTGGCTGCCTAGCAGGGGGTCACTCTGGCGATAGCGCGCCTGTAGCATGGATGGGCAATGGCAACAGAGAAATGCAGTGAAGTAGGAACTCATCCCAAACTAATGCATTTTCTCCTTCTATGAGTGTTACTGAGCGGGACAGTTTTATAGAGGATGTCCACCAGTGGCGTAGTCTGGGATAACTCTTTGAAAGGCTCTGCTTTTGCGCCACGGTCGACAGGCAGGAAGGAGTATTGCAGGGACAGAGAATACAATGGCGCCAGCGACTTGCCCCAGACCACAGAGAGAAGCATATAAAGAAGTATCAATTATGAATATAGTGATAAGCAGTAATGCACATGGATACTACACACACCTAGACCGACACCGCCGTGGTGCGCTCGCCGCAGTGCAACCAGGCGGCTCCTTTCTGTCCAAAATTTTACAGATTGAACTTCAAGACAACTTCAGTAAAGTGTAGATATTAGAAAACATATAGGGAAGCAAGTGTGGACTTGTTGGTGATTATTATTACGCTTATATTTCACGTACTGGTGGGGGACCTAGTCGGGCCCATGGACTGCTGGTCAAAATGTGCTCGTCCTGCTGCACCACTAGATCCAAAGAAGTGTACTTACAAAATATGTAATACTATAAGTCATCCCCAAGTAATATATTCTGCCTTGATACTGGTATTTTACTAAGCGAAACCCCTTTATGGGGATCATTCTTTGGAGGTGTACCCGGGACTAGCTCAACGAAGCCGCTCTGCTGTGCCGGGCGTAGCGTAGCAGCGCATGCGCGGTGGTGAGGGCCTCTCCAAAGTAGCCCTTTAGATCTTCATTCGATATTAACTCCAAATACGAAGAACTCAACGGAGAAACAAAGAAGGCAGCTGCTGTTCAGCAGTTGGATGCTGCAGGGTGGCACAGCAAAGGCAGCCTACAAGGCAACGCAATTGTAAACGCAACACGCATCCTCATGATCCTTGGGGGAGTATCAGTGAAACAGTTCACTTTAAAGGATTTATTGGATTTCCAGTAGTAGCGATCAACAGAGTGCAGAGGCAAGCGTACAGTGTACCCTCGCCCATTGGTCTATTGCCGCGGGCTCACAAGACGCAGACATTCTCGTATGCAACTCATCCTGCATAAGGAGCATCGACGGAACTTGCGCTTCTGCTGCATTCAAATGGCACAGCTGTTTCCTCAATGACCAGGATTCTGAACAACGCGAGCCCATCCACGCCGTTGTGGACTGGCTCCCTTTCTTTCCCTCCTTTAAGCGTTTCGGGTTGGCTCGGCCGGCTGGTGTTGCTACAATCTCTCTTCTACGGAGGAAGAATAGGCTGGTGGATTGGTGTCTGAAAGCCTCCTCATCAAATTCTCCTGCAGAACTGCCCCTCAGCCCTGCAGGGTGCTTGGGCTGTTCCGGTCATATCAGCATCTGCAATAGATATCAGCAGGCCTTCTCGTTAGGCATTGCTCTTCGACCTCCTAGACTCTGGGAGATTTGGGGAGGACGGGGTAGCGAGTTACAAGCCCCTTGGGCTGAGGGGCGTCAGGCCTCTTGCTGAGCTCCTGTGTTCCTCGTTGCGAAAAGGAAACCGCACGAGAAGCACTCGCTGGCCTCCTCAGGTCTTGCCATGCTTCACTGAGTGCTGCGGCGCTCGTAGTTTCTCTAGAAGGAGCTTCTCTAAAGCATGGGAGACGATTCGCCGCTGCCCTCACCCTCTAGGAGGAAATCGCATAACCTTGAAGCTCCCTCTCGGAGCTCCCTATCTCCAAGGCATCTGGCCTCAGGAGTAAAGACCAAGTCAGCGGGAGGTATGCAGGATTCCAACGGAGAAGGGAATGGCGGCGGGGAGGGCAGGCGCCATGGAGGATCCTTAGCTAGAGGTCGGTAGCCGCCAACTCTTACTGCTCGTATTTCAGTCACTTCTTTTCCTCTTCGTGGGCCATTAAAGCGCAGCTCCTCCACCTCTGCTTTAACTGTTTGTCTTTGGGGTGTCGATCTGGAGGCGATGTGCTGCTTCTTCCCCCTTCTATTGCTCGAGTATTGCAGGGGATGCTGGGCTTTCAGCCCTAGCGTCAAAGGCAGAGGTGCGATTTTTCTTGTGCTCAGGGGATACAAATGCTGGACCCAGAAAGCTCATTTCTTCTGTAGAAGGTGATGCAGAGGCCATCTCTCGTGAGTGTCACTTAGGCATTTCCGCACTATTAGGTCTCTCGCGCGTCTCCTACCAGCGCCATAGAGCAAGCCTCACTCAACTTTCGGAGGGAGGCCTGCTATATATATATATATATATATATGTATGTATATATATATATACATATATATATAGAGTATTCCAAGAGAGGAAGAGCATCGTGAGGGTTTTCTTTTTTTCTGGGCTATGTGTTTTGGTGATGCAGCGACGGGAAGCTCAGCTGAGCGTGAGTTGTGTGACTGTCCAAGTGACCGAAGGTTTAAGGGAGGCTCCCCTTCGCACGCCGTCTGCCACTGTGGCATACTAGTTTGCAGAAGCTTAAGTGGAGGAATAGATGCAACAGAAGCTGGCAGGAAGATCCTTCTCGATAGGATTCAGCTGTGGCGCGGTTGGTTTAGCCATTACCTTTTCGTGTTACTGCATATGTGTTTGATTGCAGCGAAGAAACGGGTGGTACGCCTCACGCTCACGGAAGCAGCTGAGGAAATCAAGAGGTTGCGGCGTTTCGAGAGAAAAGCGAATACACAGATTAAAGAATATGAGGAAAGCACTAAGAACCAGCAGGAGCAGATAACGCGTCTCAAGCAGCAGGTAGTGGATAATGAACGCTCTCACCAGGCGGAAATGGCCGCCCGAGCGAGCGCGTATGAGGGCGAAACGAAGAGGCTCAAGACACAGCTCCAGGTATTGTTTGGTAGAGTTTTGAGACATAGTTTCTTAATATACTAGATATATTTAGAATCACAGATGTATGCTGTATGCTAAGTATATATATATATATATATTATACATATATATATTATATATATATTATATATAGGCTAGCAGCACTGGGCAGGTGGAATCCCACTTACACTGCAATTTTATTTAGCGGAGGCTTGTGGCCGTGACAATGAGTCGCTGCTCAGACGCTCACTTTGTGTGGAGAAAGCATGTGCTGATTTTTAAACTTGAGCTACTTTGGAACCCGTCATGATCTCTGGCACTCATCTTTCATCCTACGCACACTGGTCTGTTTCCTTCTCTCTATATACATTTTTTTCTGTGGCTTGTTTTATTGAGCGGTATATAACACTTGTAGTCCTCCGTTTTCTCCTTTCGATCTGCAGGTGCAGCTTGAATTGTGTCCCATCTCATTCTCTACATCTGAATGATTTTGCTGCAGAACGCCACTGACGAACTGCAACTTCTGCAAGAAACTTCTTTGCCTCTTGTCGAGGCGAGGAAGTTGACATTTAAAGCGCTGCGTAAAGGCAGGGCGCTTCAGTACATGGCACAACTCTACACGAACAACTCAGTGTTGGTTTCCGTGAAGCGCGAAGGTGCGTGATATATGCACTTCACTTATTGGCCCCTAAACATAGCCAATGAATCGCAACCCTTGCGAGCACCAGTGGACACACAACGATTGCTTTCGATGGTGTTCTGGAGTTTTGCCACATGCACGTGTGCGTCTTTGTACCATTTTTGTGGATGCTATGCAGCTCTCTATAAACTACTGGAGAATGCAGTTGGCACCGACCACGCCTTGTTCCGTGCAACTCATGGCTTCGCGTGCGGTGTTCAGTCGTACACTGACAGCCATCTGAGGCTGCTCAGACAAGAGCAGCTTATCCTGTTGGCTGAGAATGAGAGGCTTCAGGCGCAGGTAAGATCCAGATAGTCGGTTTCTCGTAGAGGGGATGAAGTTGTGAATATAGGTTGTGTATCAGCTTGATATAGTGGTTGCACTCTATGTAGCCGCTCTAAGTCTTCCGCAAGTCCCTTCATTTTCCCGGTTCATTCGTTGTCTTGCATGCGCGCGTAGATCCAGGAAATGCAGTACAGCACGGAGAAAAAGCGCCGAGATCGTATTTTGCACCAAGAAGCAGCCGTTGTCGCAAAGCATGATGTGGGTTCAGGTTGTCCATGCCAAGCGCAGAAAAATTCCTGGTAGACTCGACGGCCTGGGTTTGCTTGTGTCCTTACGCGTCACAGCAACATGCCGAGCACCAAGAGAAATACCTACCGTTGTTCGCCATGGATAATGCTAGCACATGCACTGCGTTTGTCTTGCAGGGGAAATGGCTGCCTCAGGATTTACGTGAAAAGTCTGTGGAAATAACTGGTATGTCTTGCCATGCATTTGATAACCCGAATTTTGTTCATTGGCGCCATCATATCATGCTTAATTGTACTCACAAAATGTTCACAGCATCTGAACAGTGTAGTGTGCTCTATGTTCCTTGCTCCGTCACTCCGTTTCAAAGCGCATATGAAGCACTGTAATGGCACTTCAGTCCTCTGTAGCTGTCTACATGGCTTGCGCAGATAGCCGTAGCATGGATCCGAGTTTTCAGAAGGAGGCAACAGAGTTGCATGGTCTTCTGAAGTCCCAGTCTGTTCACACCGCCACTGCTAAGCGAGTTGAAATGGACCTCGCAAGGGCAAAGCTACGCTCTCTCTGCTCAACCCTCAAGATGGGGGAAACGAGACTTCTTTCTTATGCTTTCCGCCGGTGGGCTCCAAGTCTTCAGAAGCACACTCCTGACGGAACCTTTTGCTAGGGCTTTTGACCGTAAAGATTTCCAAAGCATACCGGAGATTGGTTGCACGCGTGCGTATTGTTTCTTGGTTCAGGCTGTACTCCCACTGCTTGACGGAATCCATAGTGAATACAATGGAGAAGGCAATCAACAAAACGAATGTGGAATTTAGAAAGGAGAGTATTGTCACTGGATGCGCGCTAGTGACTTCCTTTGTTAGGTAGGCGTGATTATTTGCGTGCCTGATGGTTACCTTGGCCCTCTTGCCACGGAATTGCCGTGCTTTTTCAAAGCGGAGCAGAGTCATGTTTTTGGACCTCTTAAACGTTTGCAGAGAAGTGCTTCTCTTTTGATGGTGGAGGTTCTGCATTGTGACGGCTTTTGCATACGCTTGTGGGTACGTCGTTCAGGACAAATGAGAAGGCCAAGTTGCTCAGAGCCTTTTGGATTCTGCTTTGTAACACTAGGATGCAGGGCCGTGCCGAGGAAATCCAATCCCTGCAGGAGCAGCTAAAACAGGCAAAGGAGCAAAAGCCTACTTCAGAGAGCCGGGGGTACTATGCGGGTCCCTGCCGTGCGTGCCACGCGTGGTCGGTGTTGTCTTCGGAACTGAACCAAGCCAGTGAGTTGAGCATTACACTAAGTTATCAGCTGATGCGTGCTGTCACCATTAGCATTGCATGTCTCACCAGGAAACAGACATGCCCATTCCGTGCATTGAGTTGTTCAAGGGATACAGCTTCCGTGTTGCAATGGCGTCAGACTGCTATTGTTTGCATAAACTCATATATGTGCGCGTTTGCGCTGCGTTTGGGCTGTCACGGTGATACTGTTTAGATTCTGGAGGCGTAATATCCTCAGCCATGCCTCAGAGGGAGGACCCAGCAGCCGGAATAGGTCTAGCTCCTTCACAGGGGGGTGGCATCCCTCTCCCGGTGGCCTATGCTCCGCACTATTTCCGCAACCTGCCTTCGGCACAAAAGCGCCGCAACGTCTACTTCACCGCAACGCCCCCGAGAATGCAAGAACAACTCATCCCTAGCACTGTACAGAGGGCTCGAGACATGGCCCTCAGCGAGGAAGTAGGCAAGGAATGATGAATGCCGCTGCCTGTAGCTGCGTCGAGCCACACTGCCTGTAATAGTTCAGATTTTCCACCACAAACTCGTTGCCCTGTCGATGTGATGCGCCTGGGTGAAGCATAGTACAGCAGCGTAGGTCTGCTCATTGATTTCTCGTTTCAGACGTTTTATCGGCCAATTTCATTGGCTGAGGGATGGAAGGGAACTGGCGTGAATGGCTTGGGTATTGGCATGGAACCCGTGGGCAACGTCATTGGATCGCACGCTACGTCGCAGGACAGCAAGCTGGAAGCTGCAAAGGGATCACTGAAGGGTGCCCTCCTTCTACCGCAGTAAGATTTCTTTAAAATTCCCGCAGTCTGGCGACGATCTGCAATTATGCTCTGGCCACCATCGTGTACGAGGCAAATCATATCTAGCCGTACGAATTTGTTAACTGTTGTTGCGTATGTGCAGAACTACCCCATCTTCTCAACCGCTCACCGCAGCAGAAAGAAATGATGCTTATATGGAGCAGCTACTACGGGCCACTGACCAGCGTATGAAGCTGCAGTGAAGCCGAAATGCCCCGTCTCTTCCCACAAGTATTCAAGTCTGGTCTCCAGGCACATGGGGGAGCATTACAACACAAGCAGAATTGTTTTGGCATGCACGAGTTTTTTTGTCACCACATAGTGCTTAAGAGTTGCACACAGGGGCAGAAGTTGAATTGACAGTTCGCATGGGGGCGAGGTGGAGAGGGGGGAGGAGATGCCGTTGAAATTGAGGGGTTGTTGTCACTTGAGCCTGGTCTCCTTGTGGACGAACTCATGATCGTCCACAAGAAAGCCATGATTTTCCGTCGTTTCCTCCCACCCGGGGAGAATGCTCATGCTGTCAATGCGCGGCAAGAGACCAATGCTGTCTCAACGCAGCGAATTGGGTTTTGTTCAAAAAGTATATATAGATTTGCATATACGCGAGCATTACAGTCTTAAATATGGTGGAAGTATTCTGTTGCCACTGTGTCCTTGGTGGCAGATGCTAGCTGAATCGCCAGATGGGCGATGCGGCTCAACTTGCTGCTCATACCCCGCATATTTAAGATGTGCAAAGGCGATATATGGTTACCTGCATCTTGTGCGGGAAACCGTCATAGTCACTCAGGTACGAGCAATTGCAGAGTTCTCTCTGAACCAGTCGATAGTCTTCTGTATACCTGCAGAAACACAAGTGTAGGAGGAACTGCCGTTGGCTTAGTGCACAGACAATCTGCAGAGCTGGCAGCGCAGCTGCTGCACCCCTGCAACACATATTTAATTTGCACATGCCTCGTCTACGATGGTAGCACGTCATGCATGAAATTGATAAGGTTCCAAACACTGCTAGATTCGCATGAAATAAGCAGCCTAGCATGTCAAGACAGGCTGCACTTTACTATGACGTCTCGACACAAGAAAGCTGTGTACCTTCTTCTAAAGGAGTGAAGAGAAATTCGTGGCCGACCACCGCCCTCAACTTCGAGTTGTCTGCCGGCTGCGAAGAAGCACAAAAGTGAGTCCCGCTAGCGCCAATGGGACATCTGCATTCAACGTCTAGTAGCAACTCGATGGTGCAGAAAGAAGTGTGGCACTAACCTTTCTTTGGACCCCTTCAGCAGAGGAATCGTCAAACTGAGGGAAAACGCAGGCAACCCAATGAGGAGGCTATATGCAAGTGCGCTATAATACGCTCTTCCATTTCTTCACTCATGGTTTAATCTACAGTAGCAAGTGGACCCAGAAAAGCGAGCGGTAGTCCGGAAGTACTCCAGAAAGTTATGTTTGTTGTCCACAGCCCGCTTCAACTACAGGTCTACTCCAAACACAAGTTTAGGCTTGATTCCCCCCTCATGTTTCGTGTAGCATATGCATGCCCGTCTGCGATTCACGAGCTACAAAAGTACACCTGCAAGTGTTAAAGCCTCTTTTATCTTACCTCTATTGGGCCGTCAAACTGCGCGCAGCGCTTGATGATCGACGCCAATTCCCCTATTGAGATCTCTGGAAATACAAACGCACCATCACCATCAAAACAAGTGGTTTAAAACGCACTTGCCTCCTGAACAAATAGCGGCGTCTTCCCCCGGTATTCCGGCTCATCTTTAATGCTTTCTGCACTAAAATGTGTTGTCTGTCGGCATCAAAAGGCATGTTCAGACCAACAGCCATACCGCTATCCTCCAAGTCGGGGCACATGTTTAACAAGGTGTGTGTCTCGGGAATCTGTCGCTTGACGAGCAAGAGCAGAAGCAGCCGCGCTGCGTCGTCGCTGAAAAGAAATTGCCTTAAGGGAGCGCCCGTGCCTCGCACGATGAGGGGAGTTCCGTCGCCTGTGCAAACATTTCGGTGCTCATGTTAAATTACATTCATCTTTGAATTCAATTCACACAACGAGACGTGCGACCTACACCGCTACTAGAGAACTCCTCATTTGAAACTGATAAGATGATTCCGAAGCGTGTACAGAAGTACAGGATAAGCCGCCAAGCTGTGGAAATGAGAAATGGTAAACCCCCAACCTACGCTTGGCGATCTCTGTCTTGTGCACGAGAGCTGGTAGCACGTGCGCTGTGTTCAGTTCAAAGTTGTCGTAGGGTCCGTAGAGATTGCACGGCAGTACGCATATCCAAACGAACGACTGCCCTGCACACAATTTGTCTCAGGCAATATGGGGGTAATCACTAAGGCAGAGATGAACCCAAGGCGAAGAACGCATTTCGAATGCAACAGATCTTGAAAGCAGCTCAATCTTTACATGCGCACTCACTCGACAAGCAGTGGCTTATGCATATTCACAAAACAGTGGCGTTCGCGAAAACCGCAGACTACGGCGTCCACCACTTTTCTGGCAGATCCAGCTGGAGATAGGTACACTTTGACCACGGATATATATACGCCTTCAATAGTTTGAGGGGCACCGACCGAACCAGCCTAGTTACATTGTTTTAGCTGTGGCTATAGCTGAACCAACCAATCCACTGGCTCACCGGGATTATCTTCCTGGAGCTGCTTCCGACTAAAGCGAACCTGTTGTTCCAGTAAGCGCTTAGCTGCTGCATATCCTTCATTTGAAGGGTGAGACGGAGCCAAGCTGCGCACACCACAAAACTCACTGAGTACACCGTACAAGATTGCGCCAGGTGATCAGGTATTCGCAACCCCGCCAGTCGTGGCATTCTCTTTGAATGTTCAGCCAACAGCGAGGAACACAACTTACTGGAGGTACTCCTCAACTAGGGGAAGCTGTGGAACTGTTTCCGGATAAGCACATGTGGAAAGGCAAAAGATCGCCCGAGGTACCTGGCAGAACAAGGAGGCGCATGTGCATTTGACTGTTTCATTTTTTTGCCGATCTCCAGAGCAAAAGATAGTGCCACTGTGTAGACGTGCACAGAGCCCTAAGCCCTAAAACGTAAACACTTAGACCTGAATTTTATTCTGCCTCACCCGTGCTTCCAAAGCAGCCCGGACGACATTGGTGTTAATCAGCACATTATCACGGAGGAATGCCTCCTGCGCAGCGAAACACAACAAACTCTCCCAACTGTTCACTGTTCAGCAGACAACCGCAGACTGGAAGCCCACCGACCAGGTGTATATAACATGAGTTTTTACAGAAGCAATGCATGCATGTATACATGTGTGCACATATATACACATACAAATATACACATATTTACATGGATAACAACTACATGTATAGGTATGCATGCACACGCATATATGCATCTTTACTATACACAGGCGCATTTTTTGTCAAGAGTATTTGCATTATTTCAGTAGCTATTCATCCTCTGACAGGTGCAAACAAAGTTAAAATAAAATGCATGCGGCTGGATTTTGATGGAAAACGACTGAAGAGAAACACTTCACTGGCATGCGTAGCTCACATTATTTTTCATATTTTCGTAGAGACCCCCAACTCTGGCGGCCAAGTGAATGATGGCACTGGGCTGATACTTTTGGAAGAGGGATTCTGTTTCTTGCCGAACTCTGCAGTGAAAAGCAGCAAAACGTTTGCCTACGACTACGAATGACGAAAGGAAGATCTGGCTCTGCATGCGGCATGAGTTAATTAACTTCGAGTTGTGTTATCAGGACATGAGCGTTACTGTTCAGGTACTTCAAGTACATCACTGCTGTCACGACTGCCGCCTCCTTTACCTCAGGTCCGCTTCCTTTGACCCAACAAATACGAAGTGGTAGCCCTCCAAATCACCAGCCTGCTCCTCTAATTCCTCTACAGTCGCTCGTAGAGCCCTACCCAGAAGCCCTGTGCCCCCTAAGACAAGACAAACGTGTGCGTTTTGCTGAGAAGCGCAACCATGGGTGATTGCGGTCAGCCTCCGAACAAAGCCTAGTCCCGGGCGAGTCATGGCGGCTTCAAGATATCAGAAACTGCAGGTCTTCTACACTGACGAAAACCGGAGTTGCCTTGGTGAACTACACTAGCCCGAATTCAACGACTGTGGACAGAGAAACGCCTACACAACGAAACCGAACCGCCTTGGGTTCGAACACGATTGGACTCTGTCTCTATAAGTGGAAGAATCTTCAGAGAGATTTGAACCATCTGTTGGTTCCTCCGACGCGAAGGCTGCAGCTGGGTTCGCAAATGAGAAACCTTCAACACACACGTGCAGAGAAATACACACACTTGCACGCGCACACATGTCCAAATGCTGGAGAGACTCAATTTAAACAACATAAAAAGCCCTTCCAGTTAAATGTCTACAACAAACTGTAACATCTAAGGTAATGGAAGGCTGTATGTTATACCCCAGCCCATCGTCCGGGTCAAGGAAAGGAATACGCTATTTCCCTTAGGCGGTCGCCTGCAGAAACTTCAGGAGAGATGCAGATGAGGTTGTTTCACGAAGATGCTCAGAATCTTGACGACAACTTTATAAGAAATACGGTGGAGAAGCATCATATCATCCAATGCATGCACACAGCAACCAACTAGAAGCTGCACGTGATCGCCGAGGCGCAAGGTCCTCAACCGACAGTATCGCGAACGTGAGGCGCGAAGCAGAACGAGAGTCAACAGGCAAAAATTGCTATTCTTCATTAATTTTGCCCAATTGCCGAACTCCTGGCAGGGATACAGATTGCACAAATCCCAGGGACGCAGATTGCACAAGTGTGTGTCGTGCACAGGGAAGTGTCGTTGAACACTTCACGGCAAGGAGTCCGCTACTGTTTAACCTCATCAAGCAAATCGTCAGGGGTTAATAGCATACTTGACTCTTGAGTAAAATGCATTTCAAGGCGTAGAGAAGTAAATTTAAATGCCATCGAAAGTGTCTGTGGGACCAACCCGATGATCATTATGCTCGCTGGTCGTCGGGCATCTTGGATGAATATTAACTGGCTTAGGACGGGAGAGTTTGATGGTATATTCCCGCCCCTTAGTTTTCCATTTGAATACTTGAGAGGCCACAGTTCAGCTAAACGCATTTTCGCAGCAGGGTACTGCAGCATGACTTGTCCGATGTTGGTATGTAGACATTCGGCTTTGGAATGCAGCGTACGCGGAAGAAGTACAACAGTTCTCTACAGTATTAACGCAGACAGCAGTAGGGGGTGTGGCTGTATTTCGCATCTAAGCACAGCGAGACCCCCACCCAATTGTACCCCACATCATCAGTTGCAACAAGGTGGGTTGTAATGCGTAGAAGGCAGCCTTAGTCCCAGGCCTTTGAGTTGCTTTCACAACGTCTGGCTAGTGGAGGGCAAGTCAGCTGCCTCTTCAGGAACTGTTTATGAAATCTTTCAGGCCGATAGCTGCTCAGGATAGGGTCATGGTCTCCCGTTGCACCTAACGTCCAGCTGCTTCGCGGGGCTCTGGAACGTTACACTCCGTAGGTGCTGTAGGTAGGAATAGTTCGTCGACTAGAGCAACAGAAATTTATACTTTACCGTGTTGAGGTGAATGCCACCTTCCTTCGTCCTCGCCATTGTTAGATTTTGCCTAAATGCGCTAGCTGATGATTGAACTTTACCTTTGCTTACCAATTGGTCTGCTTGCTACCCGATTTCGTTTGTATGAGTTATAAGGGCCGCCTTTACTGTGGAACAAACCTTGGTGCTATTCCGTGAATGAGTTCGTTGCAGTGCTTTACGTGTATCCAGCGAGTGGTTCGCCTGCTAGTGGTAGTTCTTTGCAAATAAATACACCTAAAAGCTCTTCCTTCAATTGCCCTCACTTCTGCTGCTCATAGGGCGTTAATAATTCGGCCGAATCCGGACACACCGCGACCTTCTTATGACCCTCACGGTCCGTTATACGCAGTTATACGCAGTTATTTGTCTTTTACTGCAGCAACTGTGCTCTCATGTGGGAACGTCACCTCTCCTCCGTCCCTGGAACACTGCTCCCGCTTCTCTAACACTAGAGAAAGCGAATGCCGTTGGTAGCGGTGAGAGACGTACACGTGTTAAGCCGCATGCTCCGCCGCTTGTGCGAGGCACCGTCAATTGGTGGCTTACAAATGATAGTTTTAGACTTACATCTAAACCCTCAATTCTGTAGTTGTAATTATACTATTTTTTTGTTTAAAGCTATAACATTCAAATAATTACTGACATAGGCGCTGGAATTCTTACAAATTTAATTTGGCCAATAATTAAATATGCCGCAGTGACGACTTCGCTGTCATGTCTCTTTTGCTTTCTCGAGCTTCCATT